GATGATGGGACATAAGAAAGAAATATATATATATATATATATATATATATATATATATAGCTTATATATATATATATATATAGCTTATATATGTGTGTGTAAGCTATATATATTTTAGTAAATGAAAATATGATTGATAAAATCTGTATATTGGGTACATTTAGCAGTAATGAATGATATCAGCTGTATTTAATTCACTATCACATAATACTATGGTACTTTGTATATTACTGTATTTAAAAACACTTGTGTTTTCACTTTTAGTTCATCCCTTTTTGCTTCCTCTCGCTTTTCTCTGAGTTGGACCCTGTCCAGAAACAAGCCCCGACAGTCTCTCAGAGAGACTCCTGGATTTGAGGTTGGGGTTAACCAAATGTGGTAGCCACGGCTGGAGTTCCCCACCCTGCATCACCAAACAGCAGACAAACAGAGCAGCAGCATTACTGCAGATAACATGTTAACACGCGATTTTAGTTTAAGATGCAATCATTGCTTCAAGCTTGTGGTGGTGTGAAGCTGCAGTAAGCGCAAAAGTTGTTGTATACAACTTTAAAATGAGCGAATGCTTGCGTCTTTAAAACAAACATATTAGTGTACTGTACTGTAGTATAGAGTGCGTGAGAATGAATAGCTGACAGTCGGCATCTCTGCCACATTTATCTGTTTATCATAAGTGCAATCTTAAATATACCTCAAAACAGACAATTTCAAAAGTCTGTCATAACCTTTCTAAAAATGACAAACAAAAAAATATTTTTTTTCTTGCATCCATCTGGAGTATAATCATCTTTGGATTGGCTTATTTAAGAAAATTAGAGGCACAAGTTCAAGGCGAGTGGACAGCAAGTTCAGCTGCCTTTGACTTAGTACCTCTAGATTTCCTGTAACCTGGATGATTTGATATCGCTCATGCACTTTGGAGGAAAGCCACAAACTCAATACATAATAAAACACAAATTTAGACATCATAGCCAAAAAGGGAAACTCTTGTCTTGGGCTTGTTTCTGGTCAGGATCCTTGATTGACAGTTACTGTGTAGCAAATTCTGTTAGCAGGAAATGATCCACACATATGGACAGCAGAATACATAGAGCGTTCCCTAGGAAACGATATAAAGACAACAAACTGTACTGGCAAACACGTACAGCCAAGGCTCACAAGAGGAGAGTGGGATCACGCCTTTGCCTCCCCTCTCTCATTATCTGTTTTCCATTCTGTTCGTACGGATGATCACCCGCGGCTTCTTCCATCATTTTATGTTTACGTCCTCTCTGCCTTTTGTAATCAGTTTAGCTTCTCTCTGTGTTTACTCTTACTAAAGAGTCTTGTCTCTAACACACTCTCTCCTTTTCCTAACTCTACCTTCTCCCACTCTTTTTTAATCAGTTTAGCTTCCCTCTCTTTATGATTCTGTTCCATTCCTATAGAGGTTTTCAAGGTCAGTACCTGTGTTGCTTCTTTTTTTCTTTTCTCTGCTTCTCTTTGTTCGGTATAAAGCAACAGCAAGAGAACAACTAGTGTTACACTGGACATGGTCTTCTTTTTTTTTTTTTTTAGGCGTGTATGTTTTGTTTGTTCCTGATAGACTTTGTGTTATAAGTTGGGTTATCTCTCCTTCAGTCACAAACGACACTGCTGCGTTGCTCAAATAAACACACGAAGATACACACATAGTTCCAGCACCAGCTTGAGCACTTCTTGTTCAGTTACCATGTCGGCATGATTAACCTGGTATTTAACTGGTGCTCAATCACCATGGTGACAACTTTTCTTTTGCTCGCATCTAATTTGTTCATTGCCCTTGCTGCAGTATCAACCGTAGAGAATTAACATGTAATTGTCTCCAGAGTTCTGCCACTGTCACAGTAACCACGTTACTTGGTCAGTGTTCCGTTGTCATGGAGGCGAAGTTACTGTCATGGCGACCCATCTCTTCCAGCACAGCGGCCAGTTCATTTAGGTCTCCGTCAGGGAAATGCTGGGCCTCCCAGAGATCCAGGATCACACCTGTTGGACTGGACTTGGTGGCAAAGTAGTTCAGGTACCTGAAACAATGATGAGGGACAAAAGATATGGTCGATATTTTATGACAGAAAAGGTTTCTTAGACATGCAATGTTTTGGTTTTTATGTTTCAGACGCCAAAACATAGAAACACACAAGACATGTTATATAATGAAATAATAAACAGTTACATCTTAGATATTAATTTTCTAAACAGCCTATTTGGAAAGTTTTAAATAACCTCAAGTGATGACATAATCACTTGAAAAAAGTTAAACTGGAAAGAAGAAATTGATGCAGTGTAGTGTCTCGGTCGTGTCTGAAAAGTATTCCGAAAAGACAGAAAGGTCAATCATTCTGCTTTCTCATTTTGCAAAGGTGACAAATGATTTCCTTTTATTTATTATTAATGCTTTATAAGTTAACTGCAATTAATAGTTACATGGTGTGACTGCTCTTTTGAGAACTCTGACTTTCTATATAAACTAAAATCTTCTTTAAACATATTGAAAGGACCTGGTATGTGACAGCAAAGGCACACAGAATAATAACTATAAAGAAACATCCTTGATTGAGTCCTGAATGATATACAATGCAATGAGTGAAGGACAAGATGAAAAGAGGTGAATCCTTTTTATAAAAATGTATATTCAATTAAAACTATTTTAACCAAATAAGAAAAATAAATGCTTTTAGGAATTGCGAGCACCGAATTGTGCGAACAAGTCCACAGGGAGAACAGTTTTCATAGTACTGTAAGAGTCAAGTGCACAATGGTTGCAGAGGAAAAGTCTGACAGTGAGCCATCTGTGACAAAGATCTCAATGCTGCTTTAGTGGAAAAGCCATCAGATTCGAGTCCCATGGGGATAAAAATTAGACTTTCTGTTCCTCTGTAAATCCTGTGATTGTACTGTTAGCACACTGTGGTACTGTTTAAACACAACCAGAGACATGTACATCGCTCCTCTGCATATTTCTGTCTGTCTCACATCTAATAAAGTTATTTCCATTACTTTCTGTATTTCTCACTCTCCGTCTCAGCCTCCATCTGGCTGTAGTATGTGATTAGGGGTGTCTCGCTGTTACATGAATTCAATAGCCGAGATCCACCTTTTGTTGTTGTCTCAGTATAATAGATCAAAACTTTAATAATAGTTTGGGTTCCTGGAAGTAGGCACCAGATTCCTTTGACAAAGGCAGTAATTTTACTTCACAGAACACTGGTCCACCGCCGCCTCGATCGGTTAGTTTGTATGTGCTATTCAGTGATTTTGGTGTTTAACACAGTTAGGATCTGAACTAACATTGGTTGCTGTGGATCGAGGCAGCAGCAGACCAGCATCTGTTATGTTCAGCGGGGTAAAATTACTGTTTTTGTCAAAGGGGTCTGGTGGCTTTGGATAACAGCCTCAGTTTTTTTATTTTTATTTTTTTAGGTAGGTGCTTCGGTGCTGGGACTCCTGTCTGCTTCTCCAAATTGGGGAGGCTTTCAGACTCCCATGTAAGTACTATGCTGACTATGGATAAGTACCACATACTCCACTTAAATAAACCTGAACTATCCCTTAACAACTATATTTTTGTTTGCTTTTGTAAAGTGTACAGACCTCGGGTTTTACTGTTTATATATACATGAACATGAAAGTTATATGAGGAGAAATGGCTGTGACGGCAAAGCATGAGTCATACTTTAAAGTCAAACAGACATGACTTGGCAGTTCCAGGGCCAGAGAGGATAAAAAGTGGTATTTTTCTTTTTTAGAGAATTTTATCATTCTCCTTTTGAAAAGTGGCTTTTAGTGGAAATGTGGAAGTAAACAACAATTTGGCTAGCTGTCCATTTTGTACCCACAAATCAGGAATATTTGGTGCCCACATTAACAAACTACATGATGAGCTGGCTGCCTATTGGGACAACGAGGTGCACTTGTGCCCAATTATCCTCTCAATAGCTGCTTGCTGCTCTGGTAGCCGCCGGTAAATGAACCTCCGGACTGAATCATCAACTCACACATCTGCGGATTGAGATACTTGCTACAGTCATATACAGTATTTACTATAAGTGCTTGGGAGTCCAGCAGTACTGCATTTTACTCAAACTCTGCAATAATCAAATGAGTTGACATCAAGTGACAAATTTTCTTGTACACAGTTTAGAACTGTAAAAGGCCACTAGTCACATACATTTAACATCATTAGTTGTCAGTGTGATTATGCCTCTTGGGTATTTGTATGTGCTATTGTATCTTTGAGTGCTAAGGAGATAAAATAAGTAATAGAGTAAAAACAAGAACAAGACTCATCTCAGTCACAGGTCACAAAGAAACTAACTCATTTTCTTCTTCTGTTGTTAAAGAGGTGAGGCAGGCAACCTTGATGAGCTGCTATCCGATTTGAGAAGAGTTGTTATTCTGACTAAACGATGTTCCAAACCAAGCAAAACGCCTTAGGAAAGCATACAGGGAATAAATGATTTTAAAAAATGTGTGCGTGTGTGTCACCTGTCAAGGTTGAGTTTGTGGGCCAGCATCCTCCAGTCATTGCCTCTGGTCTGTGGTGCATCTAGACTGCCGCACAGCTTCTGTCTGATGGATAAAGGAATGCGGAAGGCATTGGGCCCCACTAAGGTTGTGATATTACTGGCAGGGTCCATCAGGGATGTGTCTATGCACTGGACCTCCTGGAGAGACAGAAAGAAAAAGTTATTAAAAGAGTTATTTTAGCTATTTGAAAAGTTGAATTCATAGAGAAATTAAATTCCATATGCATATTGTTGTGCACAGTATAACTTCTGCAGTAGAAACATGGGTGAACAGGTGGACAATATACTAGGAAGCCTTAAAAGTCAAATGTGGATCATAATGTGCATCCATGTGGCAACGCTGGCAAAGTTAAATCCATCATATTTCTATTATAAATACCTCACTATCTTAGTCTTTTTTTGGAGATTCTCCTTGTCTCGCTGCTGCTTGCCTTCGGTGTGACCAATTACTGATATGTCTCCTAATTAATACAAAAAGGAGTGAACCAAACACAAAGATCTGCTACCATGCACTGTCTCTCTCTCCCCTCTCGCTGTTGATCTCTGTCTTTTTCTAAACCTTCATCCCATTAATCTGCCACTCCTAGGCTGAAAGGAGGCAGCGGTCTAATGAATGTGACTTGGCAGAGGGAAACAACAACTGCCACTGTTGATGTGAATGATTACTATTTACTGCGTCTACTTAGCCCCAATTTACAGCAGAAAGCTCTCTGCTGCTGGAGATTGAATGATTGATGCAAAGGGACATCTCTGTAAAATAATAAATACTTTAAACCTAAATGCTTTATTTTCCATTGTTCAGGACACTGAGGGTCAACAGCATTTTATTTAATGCATACACAAAGAGATTAAAAGGATATTGCTTTAGCTGTTCAGCTCTAATTACCATACTTGCTAAACATCCCATGTGATCATAGTAATTATTTTTGTAAGACTAGATATGGCCTATTTAAAATGGATTACAACTGATCATTTAACAAAATATTTAATTTTGTGACAAATCTACCATTGCCCAAATAGAAGTGTTAATTTTTACTGTGTACATGTTGCACAACAGACCACAGCTCTGCCTTTTTGTTTTGCTTATATTTGGCAGAAAGCATAATGAAGTAAGTAGAGAATCACATTAGGAAGTGCAGGAGAAATGCAGGATGGGACATTTCTACTATGCTTTCTTTCACTGTGTGATTTTGAACCTCTGACAGTTTAATAGCTGCATGAGAAAAGACACCAAGACAAAGGATCACAACTTCTTTTCCTGGATCTACACTTTACGGCCAGGATATGAGAATTCATAAGTGACTCATTGGTTTGTTCACACAGTTGTCTGTCCCTATTAGAGTTGGTGGCAAACAATGAGAGAAAATGAACTTACTAATCACAACTGTTGCATTTGAATTTAGCACTCTGATGTATTCTGGCCACTTCCTAAAAGATTGTTTGAAAACATCATTGTCAGCTTTGGGTTGGACGATGTTATTAGCCAATATTAACTAATCACAGATATATCAAAGACATATTGGTATGCGTACATAAGTTGGCCGATAAGCAACACAGAAATGCAGAAAATATGTTTTTCTGTGTCTCTATACATAGTTGTCCCACCTATGAGCACTAACAAGTTTATTTTTCAACTGTAACAATTCTTCTCAATTCTTACGTAAGGTAGAGTTTCTATTTTGAGTGTAGGAAATATGCTCAGATAAGAGGTAGAGAAAGATGACAATGACTAATCACTTTAGTGTTAAAATGTTCCGTGCATTAAAGGGTAACTTTGTTATTTTTCAACCTGGACATTTTTTTTTCTCCATGTGTTTGTGTCAAAGTGACTAATGGGGACAACAAGTCTTGAATTTGGTCCAGTATTGAGTGAGAGTGCAGCAGCCTGCAGCCACGGAACAGGCTACAATGTAATCATTATGGAAATGTGTACTGTTAAAATACATCCATTAAAAGAGGGAAAAAATGGGTGGAACACTGGCGGTGTTCCTGTGGGTGCCATTGCCCTATGCCCACAGAGGGAATTTCACAGAC